TGTGTGTGTGTCTGTGTGTCTGTGTGTCTGTGTCTGTGTGTGTTAGGTGCGTTATCTTTTGGATTGGCTGGATGAGGAGCCAGAGGAAGAGGATGTTTCAGTGCCAGTTCAGACAGAGCTGTGCCATCCTCTGTGTCAGTGTCGCAGCTGTGAACCTGCACAGAAGGTCTGAACGCACTCATTTACCTGAAGGGCTTTTTGTTTGTTTGCTTGTTTGTTTAAAGAGTAAAATTAGCTCAAAATGAACATTTATAACATTGATTTTTATGCAAATGAATAATTATAAATCATGAATAAATCAAAACGATGGCTTTCAAGCATTTTTTTTAGTTTTTCAGTTAAATAAACATTGTTTCAAAAAGTAAAGAGTCAGTAATAAAATGTAGAACACATTTTTATTATTAATGGCACAAAAGTGTTCTCATGTGTTTTTTTGTTTGTTTGTTTTGTTTTTTTGTGATTTAAAATAAATCCCAGCTGTTACACATTTTATTTATTTAGTTAGTTTGTTAGTAAGTAGACTCTAAATTAAGCTCTTAACAAAGTTAATGTAATAGAAGAATGTTAATTTCTGATATAATCTGCAAAAGTGGGTTACAAATCCAAGATGCATGAATTAAAAAAAACTAAATGTATGACTTTGGTAACTTTGAGTCTGTGTGTGTTCAGAAAAGCGCTCATCTGCAGCCGGACGGTGTGGGTGTGAACAGCAGCAGTGCTGACGGCTTCAGTCCGCTCCACGTGGCAGCGCTGCACGGACACACAGCTCTGGTGTCTCTCTTCACCCGCCATGCTGCCAACATCAACACCCGCAGCAATCAGAGCTCCACGCCGCTTCACCTGGCCTGCCAGAACAGCCACACACAGGTGCGCAGATCCCGACCAATCACAGCTCTCCTCTCACAACAACATCACTGCTTTGAAGCCAGTGTTTAACCAGTAGCTAAACTATTTTACTGATAAAATTGTCAGAGTAGCGCTAACAACATTAGCACGTGTGTGTTTCTGTGTGTGCAAGTGTCTGTACTGTGTGTGTGTGTGTGTGTGCGTCTGTAAGGGAGAGAGAGCAGGAGAAATAGTATGTGCTTTTTGTACATAATAAAACGTAATAAAACAGCTTCAGATTCAAGCGTTCAACGGCCCTGCAGTATAATATATATCAATATATTGTGCACGAAATGCATGTAATGGCGTTACGTATTTAAAATACAAAATATGAGTAACTGTATTTTGTTATAATTACATTTGAAATAGGTGGTAATCAAATTACAGTTCCATCCGAAAAGTATTTTAGATTACCAAAGTGATTACTTTGAATTTTAATATAATTTCTTCATTTAATATTTAAGTAAACAGTTCGGGGATTTCAACCAATAAGGCAACTGATCTCCGTTGAAAAAAAAAACTGCGTGCAGCAGCCCATTAATTTAGCAACTAAATGACACCAAATTCTCCTAGAATTCACACTTTGCATTCAGTTAACAGATCCATACGAATCATGCAAGAAATAAAAGCTTATAAAGTCAAACGATAGCTTCGCGTGCTTTACAGATGAACTTGAAGTCTTTATTCGTTCGAAATGTTCAAGAATAGATCACCTTTGGCGCGGTAATGCGAGTTCATGATCCGATTTGTGAACAGATGATTCTTTTGAGTCAATCTTTTGAATGAATCATTTCTTTTGTTTAACGAAACCAGTGTGAATGGTTCACATTAAACTGGATAGATCTGAAGTGTGTTTCCCAAAAGCATCGTTAGCGAACTGTGTTTGGTAAATTACACTGAACTATAACGACATTTAATTACTTGCGACCGTAGTTGCTTTGGGAAAGAGCCCTGTCAATTTTGACTCTGTGATTCTTTTGTGCCGATCGCTTCTCCATTGAGAGGATTATCAGTGAAGTAATCACTTAAAGTTTGGTCCATTTCATTAAACAAATCTATTGTATAACTTGGATAACTGTGCCAGTTGTTTTGGCTGCTTTTATGATATGTTTGGTGTCGTTCTGAAGCTTGGAATGCAGCATGAAACAGCACGGAATCCCATTCATTGTATTCAAATTGAATTTATATTGATTGGTAGATTTAAATGACATAACCTTTTTTTGTTGTTGTTGTTCATAGAAATGCTGTGGAAAACTGATGTTGTTAAAAATAAAGTCTTGTGACTGGTAGATGTCACTTTTATTTAGAGTTGGAAAACATAAAAACTATAATTGCACAATGGGAGAACATTAACTGTTCATGAGGTAGATTGCCTGGGGAAAGAAACTGTTCTTGTGCCTGGCTGTCCTGGTATTCGGTGCTCTGTAACGCCGACCAGATGGCAAAAGTTCAAAAAGGAGATGGCTTGGATGTGATGGATCCAGAGTGATTTGCTGAGCCCTTTTCCTCACTCTGGATGTATACAGTTCTTGGAGGGTAGGCAGGGGGGCACCAATAATCCTTTCAGCAGTCCGAACCGTTCTCTGTAGATTTCTGATGTCTGATTTTGTAGCTGAACCAAACCAGACTTTGGTTACATGACTTAAGACATTGGTTACATGACATAGATTACATGACTTAAGTAGCCCTTCGCAAGCTACCTCCGTGGTGTAGCTTTTATTACCGAAAAGTGAAAATAAAATCAACCTGCGTTCATTAGGCACTTGCTGCAGACATCAATTGAGTTGAGTTCATTTGGGGTGTTAATATTCTTGTTAAGAGCTCAGAAACTCCTGAAACTAGTCGAGTGTCGCCCACAAGCTAACAGAAGCAATAATCGAGTCGGGCATGTAACATCAACAGCGTTTCACTAATATTTCAGACTTGATGAGCTTTGATGATAATTAAATTCAGCCCTACCAAGACTGCAAATGACTGTACTTTTATTAGTCCCATCTGGATTTCATAAAGTTGCAATTAAAAAGGCTTTTCTCGCACAATGCTTCGCCATAATTTACTGATAAATGAGAGTCCGCTGTGGGAATGTGTCTGAGTGCTGAACTCCTGCACCCTTGCAAAAGTTCCAACGTTTTCACAGTCTTCTTAAAGATTTATTCAAAACTCTGGGTTTCATAAGAAGTCTCTTATGCTCACTAAGGCTGCATTTATTTTGATCAAAAATACAGAAAAAAAAACAGTAATCTTGCAAAATGTTATTACAATATAAAAGAATGGTTTCTATTTTAATATCCTTTAAAATATAATTTATTTCTGTGCTGCAAAGCTGAATTTCCATCAGCATCATTACTCCAGTCTGAAGTGTGTCACATGATCTTCAGAAATCATTCTAATATACTGATTTATTATTAGAATTATCAATGTTGGCAACAGTTGCCAAATATTTTTTTTGGAAACTGCGACACTTTTTCAGGATTCTTTGATGAATAAAAAGTTAAAAAGAACAGCATTTATTCAAAATATAAATCTTTTCTAAG